AAAACATGCCAATATTAAAAATTTCATTAACAGCAAATTGTTAAAAGAAAACCAAAAAACTTTGGAACTTTATCTGTTAGTGTAATTACAAATATAATCTAAAATACTTTAATCTTACGTTTAAATACATATACCTTTTTATAGATCAATCTTATGGATCTTAAGATGACTTGGAATACATTTATTTTTGTATTAAGAAAGAAAAAGGTAGTTTCATCCTGAGATACCTAGTTGTTTAAAAGATGAATTTGATTTAGTTATAGCATGAAGTCATATCTGATATTTCGTCTTATTTTGATAAAAGTGATTTTGATTTGTTTAATAGCTAACATTTAGGACCTTTATCGGGATTCTAAGAAAGAAGATATTCTAGTGAAACTATAATAATTTAATATTTCAGGAACTGATATGTGAGATAATCATTTTAACAGTCCCATGTAAGTATAAATTAACTGGGTTCAAATGCTTTTTAAGTAAACCGTGACGATGTATATTCAAATGAAAGAGTAAGTAAGCATATCCTTGTATCAAATTTGATTATTGCAATAGATTTATAATTCTATTTTCTTACAAAATTAAGCCAATTTAATGATATAACTACATGGGTTCTGAAAATTCACTTCGTGGCCAATATTTGAATGAAGAGCTGAACTGTGGGCATTCGTTGCTATGGTTTAACTTTAATTGTCATAATGTGATAGGTATAAAAAAATTCTTTAACCTTAATTATGTTTAGAAATTAATTATATATATATATATATATATTTGTAGGGAAATTAGCGCGCTTAAGTTTCAGTGTTCAGAGCATTTGAGTAATTCTTGACACCATTCACGAGGCTTTAACTTGAAAAAACTGTCTTCTATCTTGCTTATCAGGTTTCAGCTACGTTTCAGAATAGTGAGGCCATAATCCAACAAACTTAATCTAACTCTAGACTTCAATAACGGAACAACGTTACAAAGTTTCTGAGTTGTCTATATTTCTTTTAATATACACTATTTGTAAAAACAAAACAAAAAAAGGGGTTGAAAAAATGTATGGACTAGTATTTCTAATCTGAATGATACCGTTTGAGATATATGGGCTCAATAGATAGATCACAGACCCTTAGAATTCAGGTATAATCGTCTCTAATTTTTAAGTTCTAAAAAGGGGGGATACCAGCCAGTCATCAGCATCGCCGCCTGCACAGGTGCTCTTAACCAAATAGCGCGATTGGCTGAAAGTATGAAGCGTGTTCAGCAGCATCATGGTTCGAACCTTAGACTTTCTGGTACACAGCCCAGCATGATAACCACCAGGCCAAACTCGTTGAAATCTTTATTGTGGAAGGAAGAGAGTATGTTACTCAAATGACAGTCTTAATAGTTATGTTTGTGTTTGCCATTTCAAAAATATTCATAGTAGATTGTTCAACTAGAGTGAATTAGGTAGACTATTCTAATTCCAGCAAAAGGAAAAGCAATGTACAAACTAATTGCTCAGTATTGCATTGTGAGTAAACAGGTAAATTGTATTTTATACTTGAAAAGGCTCCTCTGGTAATAAATATTACACATAAAAGAATTTAAGGAATTTAATCAATATAGATGTTCAAATTAGCCTTATAAGTACATTTTGCTTAAACAAAAAATCCAAAATATAAACCACATAAACGTTTGTTTGTTTATAATTTTTTGCAAAGATATACAAGGGATATCTGCGCATAGTCGTTCCTAATTTTGAACTGATATATTAAAAGCAGGCAGATAGTCAACAGCACCAGTTCCCAACTCTTGGCCTACTCGTATATGGTCAAACTGTAGGATTTAAACGAAATGTGGAACGAGGTTTTGCGGTAACGGAACGCGAACATAGAACCACTGAACATAGAAACTCGAAAGCCACGCTCAGCCCAGTAGAAAAATGAGAACACACTGATAAATGGGTGCTTCTAAACTAAGCATATGTATAACGACCACCAACATGTTTATCGGGTGAGAGTGTGTATGAGTAACAATAAGTGCACTTTACGGGTAAACATTTGTATAAAACTGCTCCCCATGACTTCTCGGTGGAGCCTGTGATAACTTTAGTACTAACGTGCTTCATATTAAGCATGTTTAAATCATTACCGCTACAGTGTTTCTCGAGTAAGAATTTGCAGAATATGACCATTATAACTTAAAACTGTGTTTATTGTATTCTGTGAAACTAGAAATAATGTGCTGCTACTTTTGGCTTCATGCGACATATTTTATCATATTTTTATTACACACACACACACACAAAAGAGAGGATCCATTGAAAATATAACAGACTGCTATGGATAATAACTGTAGCAAATAACATACAACTCTCCTATATGTTTATCGGATTGGGATGCTTAAGGTGACAAAGATTCAATGATTTTAGAAACGATGGAAGCAGAAAATCTAAGCAATACCCATGTCTGGTTTATTTCAGTGAGCAATATATCAAATAATATTGTGAATATACACAAGAACATCATCCATTTTTCCTTATGTTTTGAAAGAGTATCGATTATCAGTAACTTTGATCAAAGAGTATCATAACTCGAAATAGATCAGAGCAAAAAAAGGTAACTTGTATATTAATGATACCAATCCTATACAACAAACTGACTAGAAGTACATAACGTAATACATCAATACACAAAAAACTAAAAACTATAATAATTAGAATGCAATGACTCATTAACGACACTGTCGGCCGTAAACCCAAGCATATCTCACAAGGTTAAGCGAAGTTAGGAAATTTAGGTTATTCCTAAATCAATTTATCAAGCCAAAAATACAAGATAATCTTAATAAGCGTAACAATTTAAAATAATAGCATTCAGAATTAGTTAACAAGTTATAGCCAATAATATCAATGAAACGAAATAGAATTTGTCATTATTTACAAAACACAAGAAAACAACCGTTTGCCCTCTATTTTGTTACGTATTCCTAGTTGTTCGATGTAGCACACTAACAACTGTAAGTTCTCTGATCTCGGACTAAGGTGTATATTTCCCAACGAGTTGCAGCAGTTGAGTCATAAAGAGAGAAATTCGACACAGATTGATATTTAGTGATTCACGGTTAATAATACAAATAAATAATGTAAACAATATTCCACTTACATAATACACAACAGGCAAGCGATCGTATGAGTAGCAAGAATTTATTACAACTAAAATAAAAAAAATACAACTGTTGATTTGTGTGCTCCCATTTGTACGTTAGTCTGAGTGAGACGAAATTACTAAAGAAAAATAACCCGAAGTTAAAATACTATCTCTTCAAACTATGTAAATACACCAGAACTGTTGGATTTCACCAAAAAAAAAAATAACTTCACTTAAAACAACTCTAGCAATGGCGGTGACACTGCTCTCCTAACTATGTGGAACATTTAAAATGAAGCTAACTCTAAAACTCGTTCGCGTAGAGTGAACGTAGACAACTCTGAATCACTGGCGAGAACATTATGGCGCTCGCCCTAGACAAAAATGAAAGTAAACAAATGCGCTAACTTCATTTACAGAAGGTGTTTGCCTAAGACAGCACGATAACTTTAGAATTTAATGAAATAACAGGTAACAACCTGCAGAAACACACATGTTTAATATGAGAACTTTAAGAATTCGCGCTATGTTAGACGAAAGAAAATATCAGATTCTGCGGAACAAGTTAACGGGATAAAAACACACAAAAACGTCCATAAATCCCTGTAAAATCTATAATAAATCTGTATCCAATTTCTGTAATATTCTATAAAACTTTTCTAAATCTATGTAATTCCATATATATTCTACTCTTTCATGCCCAAAGAATGTCTCAAATATCTCAGTAAACCCTCATGTTCTTGACACAAGAAAACAGCTATTAGTTGGTGGCTGTTGAACCAGCTGGCCAACCGGTAGTGAAGATCAAAGGCGAGTTCACTCGCAACTGTTATCTGATTCGTCGATAAGAATAACTCAGATCATTAATTAAAAACCACGTTGCTATTCCAGTAAGCGAATCAGACAAACAGGGTTCTTAATCCTCACTTAATCTAGTTCGCCTTTTAATGAAATTGAAAGTTGGTAACTCGCTTGATCACCGCTGTGTTCCATCCGGGGGAACTATGAGAATGTTTATAATTTTGAAAATTTTACTTTTTTAATCAAAAGAGTGGAAAACATATTGTACGTTTCCGTACTATACTATTGTGCTTCTTTATATCATGGTTAATGTTTATTCAAATTATGCCTTTGCCTGGCCAGGTGGTTAGGGCGCTCCACTTGCAATTTGCGGATTTAAATCCCCGTTCCACCAAACATTCTCGCCCTTTCATTCGTGGGGGCGTTATAATATTCGGTCAATCCCCCCCCCCATTATTTGGTAAAAAAGTAGCCTAAGAGTTGACAGTAGATGGTGAAGACTAGCTGCCTTCCCTCTAATCTTTCACCGCTAAATGATGAACGGCTGGCGCAGATGGCTCTCGTGTAGGTTTTTTGCGAAATTCAAAACAAATAAACCAAATTATGTCTGATTCTAAAAGTCCAATGTATAATTTGTTATTAGGACTGACGAGCCTATTTTAGAACTTTAGCAGTAAAACAATGTTATCTTATATTTTAGAAATACTTATTTTGTTATCTCTTAAATATAAATTGCGAGAAGCTGTGGAAAACGAAATGAAATTGAAATTCAGGCCATAAATAGCAAAACTCTAAGTAACTAAGTAAAACAACATCGTTTTTAGTAGTTTTCAAATAAATACAAAATTATTATATCCATGATTGTAGAGCTGCCAGAATGCTCCGCCTCCTGAAATCCAGAAATTGAAATTAGGTTTTTAATAAGAGTTCTTTAATTTGATGTTGACGTCAGACATGTGACAGACATTTTTGCAGAGCTCCGGCACTTTAAAATGTGGCACTACACCACTGACTATAACATAAACAATTTTTTGTTTAGAATTTGAAATAATGTTTACACTTACAGTAGTATCTTGTAGCATTCGGTCAAATCTATGGACGAGTTCCTTGAAGGATGGTCGATTACGTGGATTATCTCTCCAACACATCACCATGATTCGATACCTATGCGGATACGTAGGGGAATTTAAAGAAGAAAATGTCTGACTTAACTTGTAAAAGGTCTTAATATCAGATACCTTTTTCTAGTTCAGAAACTTAGTTGTACTTGCGAAACACTTTTGCAGAAATTAGGCCTTTAATTTTATTCAAAGAACGTGGCCATTGTGTAATGGGCTTATAATAACAGTATAAATTCAGAAAACCTATTAACCCCAGAAAAACACGCCCAGGCAGGAATTTAGAAACATTCCCGGTCTAGTTGGTTCTTATCCGAGAAAGAGATGTATTTTATTGAGTTTGAACTAGATTTTTTAAAATAAAATTGTCACATAGTTAAGTCAAGCAAAAAATATGGTTTCTAATACAACTTGTAGGTGTAAACAACCACAAAAAGTCTAAAAGTTATACAACACAGGTATAGATTGGTAGAATGAATTTCGTTATCATATAAGTTAGATTTGTTCTCTTTTTACAGTCGTCTCATCCAATATATATTATATTTTACTATACGTTTCCCTTCATTTTACCTTTGAAGTCTTGAAAAAAACAAAAACAAGAAAAACCATTGAAAGATCTTGATCCAAAAGTATTTGTAATGAAATAAGCAATCGTTAAAAGAATATTTCCTTCATCCATTAGTAATCGAATTCTCAAATAGAAACTACATTTCTAGTTGTCACATGATGATATGATACAAGATGTGCTGTATGGTATCGTAGAAATGATGTATATATATATATCAATGTATTGTTTTCCCTTACACTAAACAGGGGTTGGGCTACTTACAGTTGATCTGAACAGGTTTCTGGTTGTTCCATTCTGTAACCGGCTTTGAGAAGCTGGTACAACCTTTCTGGTGATATTCCTGGGTAAGGGCTTGCTCCTAGAAAACAGATGTATTATTACAGAAACGATCAGCACACATTAATTTGAAGTTAAGCGAAAAAAGAAAATTAGATTTATGGATACACTTGAGATGGACATCGTATAGGACATTATTTATTTTCATTTTCCTATTATTCTTATCTTAAAACATTTGGCACAGGAAACAAAGACAGCTTTGCAAAAAAGGGGCACATACAAGGCATTTTAAGATATATTACCACTTTCTGGTCATTTACAGTTATCGGCACTGCATAATGAATGAATTGCTCAACTGAGTAATTCATATAATGCGTAAGATATAGGATTTAGAGAAATTAATTCAGTTCCCTCAGATTAATTTGTATATGAATGTAAACATTCGTGAAAATCATTACTAATTTAATATATTTACTTTTTTCATAAATTCTGATTAGCAACAACGTGTATAAAACACCCAGAACTGTAACAAGTCTGTGTCTCTTGTTAAATAACTTTCAAACCTAAACCTTGAATCTGTAAGAGTTCCTTTTCACGCATCAAGTTTCTGTAAGGCATTACTTTTCCAGATTTACTAATTTTAACTTGTAATTGTTTCAGTATTATAATTAAAATCTATAATGTTCATAGATTATTGGTAATAATTTCTCGAGGATTAAACTTTGTATAATTAATAAAACACTCTGATGTTTTTCTTTTTATCATTTCCACTTTGAATTGCATTAATAAACTTTGAGCTATTTCGAATTTATGTATTCTCTACATTACGCTTATTCGTCCCTAATTTCAAACTGTAGACCACAGTTAAAAGATTGAAATGTGTTTGCTAGCACCACGTTTCAACCCGAGACACTCGGATCTGCAGCCTGATACACTAACCTCCAGGCCACGCTTGGGGCAACATTTCCCCCCTCTTTTGAACTTGTTTTCTAATCCCTATCGGTTGTAAAAAACATATACAGGGTTGCAACTTTTTAAACATTTGGCAGTTTGCTTTTGTAGTTCGTCCTATCCTATATGATGAAAGAGTGAATTTTATAAAAACTTTAAAGATGATGCAATACCTAGAATCTATTGTCACACACGCTAAGAGACTATCACTGTATTTTGTTATCCGAGTTATTTTTTTTTCTTCCAGTGTCAAATGTTATAAAGTTAAAACCTGCTAATGCGTAACGCTATGTTGTAAAAACAGGATCAAGTTGTATTTGCTCGTTTATTGTTTCCGTCAGTCTTGGAGTTTTGCCAAGTTAGACAAAAAAAATAACAACACATTTTAGCTTTTAAGTTGCAAAAGGCAACATTCAAAGCACGAAAACAATGATACTTGTAAGCATGAAACTGAGACGTAAGCAGTGGAAGTCTAAGGGGTAGACGACCCATGCTACCGTCTACAGAGGCATATTGCGGGGAGGGGGCGACGAAGTGGGCCGGATGAAAGAACGGTGGGGCAGAATGAAAGGCATATATATATATATATACGGAATTACCCAGAAGCGGCACTATCGTAGCAGAAACTAACGTAGTAACTTGAATGAGATTTTAAAAACTAAATACAATATTTTAAACTGATAAAATACTGTGAATTATGACATATAGTCAGAATTGTCTTCATGTAGAGCTAAAGATATTAATATATATACATGCGTGTGGGTGGGTGTCTATATTTATACCAGGTTACATATGATTCGAGATGAGTAATAAGTCGAATCAAACCTAGACATTACATTAAAACTAAACACTTTAAACTTGTTCAATGAATCATGTACTTATTTGCAACCGACGATTAAATTTACACATGCAACCAAAACACTTTACTCATAATGCAGTTAACTTACCTAAGGTTACGATCTCCCACAGAACCACTCCGAACGACCAACTTGAAATAAAGAAATCGTAATTTAAATCTATTCACTAATAACATAAAGACTTGTGAAATACATTAATAGACAAGAAAAGCTTGTAATTTTTTGTACTAAACACAATGTCTTATCTTTAGTTTGTTTATTTGAAGTTAAGCACAAAGCTTCTCAATGGGCTATCTGTGCTCTGCCCACCACGGATATCGAAACCCAGTTTCTAGCGTTGTAAGTCCAAAGACGTACCGCTGTGCCACTGGGGGGCTTTATCTTTAGTATCTTAAAACAAAATTATTTTGCTTTATTTACCTCTCATTAGTTTCCAGATTGGGCTTAAAATAAACTGAAACTTCATGAAATTAAATATTAAATTTTTAACCAAGTCATCTAGCACAGGAGTAGTGATTCAAATTAAAAACATTCCGCAATGTGCTCCTATAAGAAAGACAACAAATTAATCTAAAAATACCTAGCAGAAAACTTAGTAATGAATAAAAACCCTATAACCTGAGCGTTTTCGAAAGGTCCACCTTACAGTTTGCCCCTGAAGAAGAAAGGTCCACCTTTCGAAAGCGCTCAGGTTATAGGGTTTATATTTATTTCTATCAAGATTTCTTGAACCTACGTGTTTTTCTAAGATCATGAATGTAGCAGAAAACTTACGTATGGTGGGATAATATAGATATTCCTGACATCACCAAAGCGGACATATGCAAATTTCTCACATTTATATATATATATGTAACTTTAATATTGTATCTTTTGTGTAGAAGAATGCGTAACTTTACAGTAATTTATATTACCTAATATCATATTACAATTTGTAGTTTTCAAACACTTTCAATTTTTTTACCGGAAGATATGATTATATTTATGTTACTTACACATCACTTTTTGAGGTATAGATCTGGTCTTCTAGCGACTCTATCGCCATCCATTTTACAGGCACACGTCCCTAATTTAAAAAATAATTTTATGAGTGCCAGTAAACTTAATATGTAGCGTCACCTATTGTGTGTTATTAAATTTTAAGAAAATGTTCAATATCACAATAAGCCTTCTAGTAAGATCACTCGGTTAAACCTTATCTATTCACATTCTAATAACACTGAAGTCAATTGGTTGAGGCTTAAACTTTCGTTGTCCATAATACGATCTTAATTTTTAATTAATTTTAATTAAAGTTTTAATTAAAAAGAATGAAGAAACTTCAACCTCAGTTTCATAAGGTAGCGTGTTGTGTTTATTGAATAACCCATTTTACAGCTTAAAAATACAGCTGATTAAAATAGCATGCATTCTTCCAATAGAGAAATTAATTGTTGTTTTTTTTATCCAACGCTTCAATTCATTGTATTTTTAACCAAATTAAGGATTAGGAGGATACGTTTTATTGCTATTACAAAAAAAGAAAAACGAGAGTAAATGTGTGTTTTTTATAGCAAAGCCACATCGGCTCATCTGCTGTGGAATCGAACCCCTGATTTTAGCGTTGTAAATCTGTAGACTTACCGCTGTCCCACCAGGGGTCAATAAATACATTTACTTAAATTTCTTACTGAAAGATAAAAATATTGAAATTAGATAGAACACTTAATAAAATATACTACGGATCTTGCATTGCAATTTATACACTTAAAAACATTTAAAAGGTGATAGAGCACTTAGTAAAATATACTACAGATCTTGCATCGCAATTATTGGTTATTTTACACACGTAAAAAGGTGTCAAGGTTTAATAGTTACGGTTTATGCATATAAATATGACTAAATGTCAACACTGGATAACAGTTTTAAACGTCACTTGTAAGTAAAAAAACGTAGCTGCACAAGTTTTATTAATTCCGGATATGAGTTTTACGTTAATACAAGTTTTACTTTCTTTACCTTACTCTTCTTCAGATAAGTATCACCTTCGTAGACATCTCGACTGAGTCCAAAATCAGAAATTTTTACAACATTTCCTGTGGCTAATAAAACATTTCTGGTCGCTAAATCCCTGTGGATCAACTGTAATTTCAAAAAGAAACATAATAATTTTTGCTTTATAGATATTTCACGTGTTTGTCCATAAGTCTCTTAGTGTTCTTCTGCACACGTTTAAATAAAGCAAAAACGTTTCATTTTACTGTATTTATATTTACTTTGTTTTCATGTATCAAACATTAATAAAGATAAAAATTAAAGCAGTTATTTTGATAATAAAATAGTTGAAATATAAGCGCTAAATCGCCCACATCATCTTGTTTTCACCCGTTGTTCTCTAGTCTACAAATGTGTGCAGTGACATTCAAAATGTGTACGTTGAAGAGATATATTTCGCCTGGAATGATATAGATGTTGCATAAAAGCTATAAAATTACCGAAAAGTGTTCTTTTCCATTTATTTTGGCGGTGAATCTAAGTTATATTAAAATACTGCAATAAGAAAGCGTCTCTATATTAAAGTGGAGTTATACAAGTCTTTGAATCAATACACAGTTTCAAAAGAAAACTTTAGTTCATTGAACATATTTCAAGCGTTGTTTTAATTGGTTTTTCAATCTGTGTATGGATAAAGCCATACCTAAATTCTATTCTGTAACAAAGTTACAAATTAAACCCATAAATATCCGCACAGTGTGATTCGTTTCATTGCACATTTAGCTATTTAGAGAATTTCATCTGTTGTTTATATTTAAACCCGAGAGATTTTAGATTCTATTCTGCTATCTAATCGTTAAATTACTTTACTTACTTGAAAGGATCCTCTTAAATAAAAGAAACTATTTAAGTTATTCGGTATTACGTTCAAAAGAAAGAGTTACTAAGCGCCATTTCACCAGGATAGTGCTATAATAATTTTTACTTGTTAATCACTAAGTACTTTTACTTGTTAAAAGATATTCTCTAAAATTAAATAAATATATTGAAACTATTCGGTATTACTATCAAAAGGAATGCTACGTGTTGTAAGTTTACCAAGATAAACGACGTAACAATTGATAAACAGGCGCTAGAAAGAATTACATCAGTACAGAATTGGGAATAAAAGCAAATAATCCTTTTTTACCCATGAAACAAGAATCGATGTACAATAAAATGTATTAGCTAATAGTTCAAAATTTTATGAGTTTATTTTATCGTAACTTTTGCATTAGATTTGATATATTTTGATTTATCAAATGAGATTTTTTTATCTTATTTGAGAGCAAAGCCACGTGTTCACCGCGGGGAAACAAACCTCGGACTTGAGCGTTGTAAGACCGTAGATTTACTGCTGTCCCACTAGGGGATTATTTTATCTTCAAATACTAGATCACGTGAAGGACTTTTTCTCTGAAAATAGAATATGTTTTATGATGTTGCAATTTGACGTGTTTACATCAAAACTAAAGGTGTAGAAACGTTGAGCTTATAAAAGGACTGTGTATGGACTAATCCTGTTGATAAACCTTAAGTTAAGTAAATACTATAAGCAGGAGTTTCGTGTATGTATAGGAACAGCGGGTAGAAAAACGTTGTAGTTGCAGATAATCAAGATCCCAAGTAGGTTCGTTGTTGCGGTGATAATGACTGTTTCATAAATGTTATTTACCGCAATATTGTATCTAAAACGAAAAAAGTGATAAGTTTACAATTCTGATTAAAGTAAAGGTAAAACATAAATTATATCGTGTTTTAATGCTTCCTTCAGGAAAAATAGAAGATAATCATACAGTTGTGCTTAAAATGTAGTAAAATGTCTGGATATGTTGCTTTCTTTTAAAAGAGTCATTAAGATGAATTAAGTTTACAGCTGTATAACATAAAATATTGGGGAACAAGGAGCATGCTCAAAGAACATGTATTAAGATAAAATCATTCTTAAGGGATTTGTGAAGTTCTAGTGGATTTAAGAGTTAACATTGTGGAAAAATATCATTCTTTCGGGTCTTTTTTAAGTCCCTTATCTGATGACTTGTGTGTTTTAAATTAATTCTGATATGCAGAGACGTTTGTAGTTTATTCTTCGTAAAGTAGAAAGGTTCAATTATTATAGTTAAACGACAAACCTTCATATCACTTAGATAGGCCATTCCTTTGGCAATTTGCCAAGCAAACGATATCAAGTCCCTTCGTGTCAATTGGACATCATCATGTCGACAGATGTCACCACCATCGGACAAATACATGGGATTTCCCACTTGCGCAACCGAGACGTCATTGCACTCAAACCCAAGCGATCGAATCTTCCGAAGATAAGAACGAAGAGAACCAAATTGAGCATACTCCACTATGACATAAAGAGGACCTCCTGTTAATAGACAAAAACAAAGATAAACCAACAATTTGTCATTGTTGTCTATCTCTGCTTATTTCATGACATTTTATACAGACCTAATCTTCATTATCAAAACTATTGCGCTCTGTGAATTAGACAGCTGCTAGTGAAGGTTGTGGGAAGTGAATTAATTTATGATAATGGCTTCTAGACTTTAAAAAAGATTGATCGGTGTTGCTATAATTTCCTATAGATTTACGAAATTTTTATTTGCAACATAAATAACGTATTAAAAAATGTTATGTTTTTCAAAAAACAAAGCAACAACAACAACAACAAAAAAAAACTACGGCAAACTCTTGTTCGGAATTTTTACAAATTCATTTTACATTTGAGAGGTTGTTATAAACCGCAAATACATACCACCACCAATACACAAAATAATAATAAAATGATTAACTACAAAGTTACCGATTTATTTTTATAATGTTTTTTACCGGTGTAGTCCAAATATTATATCACATTCAATAATTTCTTTGTCTTTGCCTGTTACTGCATTCAGTGTAAATAAATTATCAAGCAAAAAAGGATTACGTGTTTTCTTATATCAAAGTCACATCGGGTTATACTGCTTCGTCCATCGAGAAGAAGCGAACCGTTGATTTTAGCGTTGTAAATCCGAAGACTTACCACTGTCCCACCGGGGGGACGGAAAAAAAAGTACAAGAGGTGAAGTCACACATTTTTTATGCAACACGCACACAAGAAGCTCATATAGTAATTGGTGGAATTTATTGACGATCTTTTTGTTTACTTTTTTGTAACTCTTTTGCTATCATGAACCCTGTAACCAACACAAGCATGGCCTGCAAGCAAATTGATGCATGAATAGAATTTAGAAAAATGTCCATCCGAACTCCATTTGTATTTATGAGGTTAAAAGCACAGTACTGAATACAATTTTTATTTTTTATAATTTGAAAATGCAGCATAGGTCAAATAAGAAGGTATATATTTAGAGCACATATATTTGTTTTTAAAATTCTAGGCAACAACATACAAAAAGTGTTTATTTGTTTGTTTTGAATTTCGCGCAAAGCTACACGAGGGCTATCTATGCTAGCAGTCCCTAATTTAGCAGTGTAAGACTAGAGGGAATGCAACTAGTCATCAACACCCACCGCCAACTCTTGGGCTACTCTATTTACCAAAAAATATTGGGATTGACCGTCACTTTATAACGCCCCCACGACTGAAAGGGCGAGCATGTTTGGTGGGACGGGGACTCGAACCCGCAGATTGCGAGTCGAGCTCCCTAACCACCTGGCCATGCCGAGGCTACAAAAAGTGCCTGACCTTTCTGGGTACAAGCTCCTAGGAGTTTAATCACATTTGGATGGCACACTTCTTTCAACATGTTGAACTCTGACAGGAGGTCTTGTTGTTCTGAAAAACTTCCGTCACCTAAAACAATAATAGTAGTTGTTATCATAGTTATAATAATATCATAACAATTTGTAATAAGATAGCAATAATATTTTATTTAATACCAAAGAATTATGTAGCAATGGGCAAAATAATTCGGTAGAAAGTAAAGCAAAAATCGAAATATATCAAAGGCAGCCTCTACAATAAATATCAAAGTGCTTATATATATCAAACATCTAGTTGTTTATTTTCCATTTCAAATATAGCTTCTATTTGTCACTACACGTCGCCCACACAGTTCTCAAGAATACCACATACAAATTCCTAAATTTGTGTCTTTCTATTCCATCTTTCGCAATTCTGCATCATTATCGGACATGTTAAAGCACGGAACTTTGCCATACAATAAATCAAGCTACATCCTTCAACGTAACAATGTTTACCAGATCCCCAGATATCACAGAAAAAAGTAATCAAGTAATATCTTTCCCAGTTTTTAGTTATGACGTCTCTGTTAAAGAATCTCTGTTGAATTATACTTCTTGTTCTTTAAGAAGAGAAAGTGCAGATTTTAGTTGACACGTTATATGAAACAAAATATTACCAAAAGAAATGATCATTTTGGTTTAAAGTCGATTTACAGAAACATATTATATATATATAAATGTTTTATTTTCCCAAGTCTTCAAAATGTAAAACATACATATATAAGTAATGAAGATGTTCTTTTCTCCATTGAAGGTGAAATACTTTCTTTGTACTGTTATTTCTCAAAAGTACTTTATTTCAATATTGATGAGTCTAAAAATGATGAATATTATTAATCAATGGGATTAATAATAATGGGATAGGCCGTCAAATTATAACGCCCCCACGGCTGAAAAGGAAAACACGTTCTGTGACGGGGATTCGAATCCCGACTCTCAGATTGCGAATCGAGCGCTCTAACCACAAGGCCATGCAAGGACTTTTAGACAGGAACAAGCAATTACTCTGCTGAACAAAAAGTTCAGGGCATGACGCCTTTCTTCAAATGTGTGCACTCCTAATTTTCGTTGTTTGAAATAAAATATAAACTATTTCAACTGAGAAGAGTTAACTATTTTAGCAAGCTATTGTTATTTTGTTATTTGCATTTGAATGTGAAATGCAAGTTTTACATGTTTTTACGCAAATATAAGATACTCCGAATTATCATTGATAAAAAAACTGAGATTAAATAAGGGAAACATTTAATATAATTAAACGAACTGGATGGATATATTTTGATAAATATGACAAAGAAAGTCTGAACCTCAAAACGTTTTTTTCTAACTTTACTTACAAGATTAGTTCTTTGAAACAAAACATCAACAAAAACACAACAACTTGTAAATATAATTATCTCAACTCATTTTTGCAACATCATTATTACCAAACAAACATAAAAACATCAATTTGGATAGGTTGACAGAACGCAGATAGCCCATTATATGGCTTTGCAAAACAAACAACAAATCTTTTGACAGCTCTGCACATTTTTTTTTTACCATGACAGAATTGCTTTAAACAAATGTCTAGTCAACATCAAATATGCGTAGTTTACATGTTCATATTACCTTTTGACTTTTTCAGCTACTTCTTTGGTTATTTAGAATTTCCAGAATTAACATGATTTTCATAATTTTGTGAAATGGAAATTTCACTGATCAAATCAAACAAATGCGATTAAAATTGGGTTTTATTACAATTTTTCCATATTGTTTATGCGGATCTAAAGACAGGAGCTTGTAAAAATAATATTTATTCATTCTACGTATTTTTCAGGAAATCTTTCCTTCAGTAAAATAACTCATTACTTGGCTGAACCTATGATAGAGAAACATTGATCAGGAATTCTATATGTGAGCAGCAGAGAAATTCAGTGTTTTGGTGTAAAAACTCCTAAGCTAGCGAAGTAATAGACCTAATAAATGATATTAATATGATGTTTAACTGTATATGTTTTTTAAAAACAAATTGTTTTTAATTGGTCCATTTCATAATGAAAATCAAATTTGCAAAACCATGTTCTGTCAAACGTGGTTTTAGTCACATTTATTTGGCCAAATTACCGTCATTGTTCCACCAGTTTAAGCTATTTTACCCATAAGCTGCAAAGTTATAACATATGCAATATAATGATATATCATTACTTTGACGTCACTGAAACATAATGATTACTGTACATTAACAATTCAAATATGAAATTTTAAATATTTCGTTGAGATTATAAAAAGCAAAAAACCATTTTATGTTGTTAAAAATTATTGACTTATTATGTGATATGTGCACATGTTTTATTGAAAACTACATTTTGATTGCAACTCTTTCCATATAACATATGTTATTCTTCATACCTTTTAACATCTTCACTGCAACAGTAGAGTATACTTCCTGACCATTAATGCTCCAGGCCTGGGCTCTCATCACCTTGCCGAATTCTCCCTCTCCCAGTGTCTCTTCTAGAATTAACCTGTCTCGTGGGAATTCCCACTGGGCGTCTCCCTGTTTAGATAAAAAAATATATATAAAGATCTAAATGTTTATAATACAAATTATTTCATTGTTTTCACTCCTTGGCATCACATTTACTTCTCTCACTTACGTACAACATGTCTTGTAACAGATTCGATAGCATCAAATATAATACATTGGCGTATAGCCCGTCAGAAATGACGGGACAAGTACTACCACCCCCACTCCATAGTATACTCTAACCTCATACTTCATAGCTAACTGAAATAAATAAATTTTGCGAAATCAAGCATGACCAACAAAGAGGCATAAAAGTGCAGTCGAGGCAGTCAGACGTTGGAAAATTCCTTTGTGAC